AATGTTTAACTTGCAAGATTTTGTTTCTAGTCCATCTGTAGAACAGCTTAATCTGTGCAGGAAGCAGGAATTGTTGCAGATCGCAGACCATTTTCAGATTGTGGTGAGTAAACAGTCTCTTAAGAAAGAAATAAAGCAAATTTTGATCAACAAATTGAATGAGTTGCAGGTGTTGCCTATGTCAAATGTGGGGAATGTTCCGGCGCAAATCTGTCATGGGGAGAAGGCCAAGCAGAGTGGCGGAGCTGTTGCTGACGCCGAGGCGGAGGCCGAAGCCAAGGCCGGCTTATCACCGTTTGAGCCGTTCTCACCCAGCTCTGTGGATTCACGGGAAAGTCCGCGACTGAAAGTCCGTCTTGCCCGTTTGCGTTTTGAAGCTCAAGAGAGAGCTCAGGCACGTCAAGCTGACCTGAACTTGCAACTGGAAGTACGCAGGTTGGAAATTGAAGCAGAGACGCAGGTGAAACTGAGACAGCTTGAGTTGGAAGCGTCGAGAGTGACTGCTCACTCAACTGTGCCGTTGGACACCGCTTCAACTGTTCCTTCTTCGCCGCATGGTGGTTCAAGCCCAGAAACTTTTGACGTGAGTAAACACATTGCGCTCGTTCCTCAATTTAGAGAGACAGAAGTTGACTCTTATTTCAGTGCGTTCGAACGCATTGCAACTTCTTTTCATTGGCCTAAAGAGGTTTGGTCTGTGCTCTTGCAATGTAGATTAGTGGGTAAAGCTCAAGAAATTTGTGCTACATGGTCACTAGAAGAGAGTATGAAATATGAGTCTGTGAAAACTGCTATCTTGAGAGCTTATGAGTTAGTTCCAGAAGCATATAGACAACGTTTTAGAAAACAAAGAAAAAGTCCTACACAAACTTTCACGGAGTTTGCTAGGGAGAAAGGGGTGTTGTTCGATAAATGGTGCACTGCCAGTAACGTGTGTGATTTTGATACTTTAAGAGAATTGCTGTTACTTGAGGAGTTCAAAGGATGCTTACCTGATCGCGTTGTAGTATATCTTAATGAACAGAAGGTAACTACTCTGTCACATGCCGCTGTCCTTGCAGATGAGTTTGTGTTAACTCACAAGAATGTGTTTTCTTCCACACGATTTGAGAAGTTAGAGTTTGATAATTCACAGTCTAAGAATTCACGTGCACGATTTAGTCCATCTCGTGATAAAGAGGAGCGTGTATGTTTCTACTGTCACAAGAAAGGACATTTGATTGCTGATTGTTTGCTATTGAAACGCAAGCCACAGTCTCAACCGAAGGGTGTGGGATTTGTACACACTGTTGAAACTGCAGTTGACATGAATACTGATAATAGAGTTGATGAGAGTTATCGACCTTTCATGTCGAAAGGGTTAATATCTTTGACTGGGAAAACAGAAGATCAGAAAGAAATAAGAATACTGAGAGACACTGGTGCGATGCAGTCATTTATTTTGGCAGATAAAATACAGGTGTCTAATGATACTTCCTGTGGGTCTAGTGTACTTGTCCAGGGAATTGAGATGGGATGTATGAAATTCCCACTGCATCAAGTGCACTTGCAGAGTGAGTTGTGCACTGGTGTTGTAAGAGTCGCTGTTTGTCCATCACTTCCTGTGAAGGGAGTTGATTTCATTCTAGGAAATGATTTAGCAGGTGGTAAGGTAATGTCTGTGATCGAAGTAATGGAAGAACCAAATGTGTCCTGTAAGTTAGAAAGATTAGCTGAAACTTACCCTGAAGCTTTTCCAGCTTGCGCTGTCACACGCACTCAGTCACGCAGAGTGGGTGATGTAGTGGATCTGTCTAGCTCATTCATGTTTCCACTTTTGACTGGAGACACATTATTGGGTGTGAATCGGGAACAAGAAAATAGTTCAGACTCAGAGACAGAAAACAAAAGTGTGGTTGAGGTTGATACAGAGTTACTAAAGTTACCTGTATCTCGTGAGAAAATTATCACTGCACAAAAGGAGGATAAAACACTCGTTAAAACGTTTAAGTCTGTTGTACCTATGGATGTTGTCAAAGACAGGAAAAGTGCTCACTTCATTGAGAATGAACTACTGATGAGGAAATGTGTGAGCAGACAATGTAGCCCGACTACGCCACCCAATTGAAGAGCTGGGACTCTATTAATTTAAACACCCTGGCTTTCAAGTTCTTTTAGTTTGGTGGGAGCAACACAACAGGATTACCCGGACAGCAGTTTGAATAGAAATGTTTTTATTACAACCTTGTTTCAATAATAAAAAGAAAGGGCACACCGTGCACTCTCAATTGACTTTAAAAAACTGGACAACGCAACGGGAAGATACAGTTCGCTGGAAGTCCATAAGCACCCACAGTCCGCGAGCGTCCCTCTAACCAAGTCCGTCTGGCACCATACAGCAGCGTCTACACAGCAGCCCATCTGTCACTCACTCACGCGCATCAGCACATCACTCACACAACAGAAAAAAAAGAGCCGCCAGTATCTCCACAGTAAGGAAACACAGCATAAACACCACACCACGATAGGAATAATATTAATCGTGCACACTCAATTAAATCACTACAATTCGTGAATACGCATTAAACAATAGTGGTAAAACTACAGCAATACTGGAACACTTTAGTTTAGTTGCGGCGTGGATATTAATTCCGGACGAGGCAAGGCATATAATTTAACAGGACGTCACTCACCAATAAACTGGGAGTAGACGCATCTAGCTCCCAGTCTTGTTGGACAATGCTCAATTCAGCGCGACCAACAGCGACCCCAGCAGAGAGAGACAGCAGTCCAGAACGGCCGAGAGCAGAGGAAATCCAGCACAGCAGAGGCAGACGAACTCCAGCACGGCAGGGAACAGCCAAATCCAGCAAGCGAAGACAGAGGAAATCCAGTCCAGCAAAGAACGGACGAATCCAGCGCAGCAGAGAATAGAGGAGATCCAGCACAGTAGAGACAGACGAATTCCAGTCCAACAACGAACAGATGAATCCAGCACAGCAGAGAATAGAGGAAATCCAGCACAGTAGAGACAAACAAAATCCAGCAGCCACCAAATCAACAGCCGGACCGTCACTTCAACGCGGGCAGACAATGGTTCATACTACAGTCAGGAGAATAAAACAAATAAAAGCAATCGCGACTATGTCTGGTCATAAAAGAATGTGGAGAACAGGGCTGCACAACAGAGTTCACGGGTCACAGGCTCACTGTTTGTCAGTTTCTTCGCCTTTTTAAAGCGTCTGTAATTCGACATGGCAATTACCAACAGCTGTCCATCTAATCAGCTGTGATCTAGGCTTCCAAGAACTACGGGGGCGTTACCCCACACCCTAAATAATGATCAAGTATCACAAAAAGAAAACATGCATAATAAAACAAAGATCACAAAAAAAACCAAATCAAAAAAGAAAACAAACATGCCAAATACACAAACAAAATAAAAAGACCATAGTCTCTCCATATGACAAATGGTGCTCTCATGTTGATGAAAAATTAGACTGGAATGTTGTTTATCAAGTTGTGGTTCCGTCTCCTTATCGTCAACATGTCTTGTTTCTAGCTCATGACCACCAGCTTTCTGGTCATTTAGGAGTTACCAAGACCTATAACAGAATTTTGAGTCATTTCTTTTGGCCAGGATTAAAGAAAGATGTTGTCCAGTACTGCCGTACCTGTCCCACTTGTCAGATTGTGGGAAAACCAAATCAGAGACTACCACTTGCTCCTTTGATGCCCATACCAGCAATCGGAGAACCATTTGAACATGTGCTTGTTGACTGTGTCGGTCCATTACCTAAGACTAAGAATGGTAATCAGTTTCTGTTAACTATTATGTGTATGAATACCAGGTTTCCAGAGGCGATTCCTTTGAGGAAGATCACGGCACCTGTGGTCAGCAAAGCGTTGGTGAAATTCTTTTCCACATTCGGCTTACCGAAGGTAGTGCAAACGGATCAAGGTACGAATTTTCTATCGAAACTGTTTAAGCAAGTGCTTGAGTCATTAGACATTTCTCATAGAGTTTCAAGTGCATATCATCCGCAAAGCCAGGGCGCATTGGAACGTTTCCACCGAACTCTGAAGTCAATGCTGAAGAAATATTGTCATGATACTGCTAAAGAATGGGATGAGGGAGTTCCTTTGGTTTTGTTTGCTGTTCGAGAGACTATTCAAGAATCTCTGGGGTTTGAACTTGACAGCTCCGAACTTGTGTTTGGACACAAAGTTAGAGGTCCATTGAGAGTTCTTAAAGAACGAGTTTTAGCACCTGACTCGAATAACAACCTCAACATACTAGATTATGTAAGCAAGTTTCGCGATCGACTTCATGCTGCTTGGTCGTTCGCTCGAGAATCTCTTGCAGATGCTCAGAAAGGTATGAAGAGTACATACGATAAAAACTCAGTAGAGCGATCTTTTCAATCTGGAGACAAAGTACTTGTGTTGTTGCCTGTTCCAGGGTCATCGTTATCTGCTCGTTTCTATGGTCCTTATGTTGTAGAAAAGAGAATGAGCGAGACCGATTATATGTTGCGTACACCTGATCGGAAACGAAAGACCCGTGTATGTCATCTAAACATGTTGAAAGCTTACCATACTAGGGAGTCGTCAACGGCGAGCGTCGCAGGAAAGACGGCAGGGCCCGCTGTTTCTTCTGTTGCGATGGCCGTGGATCGGGAGTCATCTCCTGATACCTCGGAGGTAGACTCGTATGGTGTGGTACTTCGCCATGCTTTTCAGCAGGGGGTAAGGTTAAGAAATTCTGAGGTTTTACGAGATCTTCATTCGCATGTTAGTCATTTGACTGTGAATCAGAGAATGGACATTGTGAAAGTACTTGCTGATTTTAAATGTCTGTTTGGTGATGTTCCCACACAAACAAATGTTCTGAAACATGATATTGATGTGAACGGTGCTCGTCCTATTAAGCAACATGCTTACCGTGTAAATGCAATGAAAAGGTCTGCAATGAGAAAAGAGGTGGAGTATCTGTTAGATCATGGTCTAGCCAGATCCAGTTACAGTCCGTGGAGTTCTCCATGTTTACTTGTTCCCAAACCTGATGGTTCAGTTAGATTTTGCACAGACTATCGAAAAGTCAATTCAGTGACTGTACCAGATAGTTACCCGTTACCTAGAATGGAAGATTGTATCGATAACATCGGTTCTGCACATTTTGTGACCAAACTCGATATGCTAAAAGGTTATTGGCAGGTAACGCTTACCTCCAGAGCTTCAGAAATCTCAGCATTTGTCACTCCAGACAATTTTCTTCAGTACACGTCGATGGCTTTCGGTCTTCGAAATGCTCCCGCAACTTTTCAACGCCTTGTTAATATAGTTTTACATGGTGTGCCAGACTGTAATGCCTATCTTGACGATCTGGTTTTGTATTCTCGAAGTTGGTCAGAACACATCAGTCTGTTGAGAACAGTATTCGACTCGCTAAGGCAAATTTGACGCTTAACTTAGCAAAATGTGAGTTTGGCAAAGCAACCGTTACTTACCTAGGTAAGGAGGTTGGTCAAGGTCAAGTGAGACCCGTGGAAGCTAAAGTAACTGCCATAGTTGAATTTCCAATTCCTACTACTCGTAGAGAATTGCGGAGGTTCCTAGGAATGGCAGGCTACTATCGTGGGTTCTGTAAGAATTTCTCGACCGTTGTGAGTCCTCTTACTTCACTGCTTAGTCCATCTAATGCTTATGAGTGGTCAATTGAGTGTCAACATGCTTTTGATTCAGTTAAAACTTTGATGTGCAATGCTCCTGTCTTAATGGCACCTAACTGTGATCAGCCGTTTAAGTTAGAGGTTGATGCAAGTAATGTGGGTGCTGGGGGTGTTCTTATTCAAGAAGATGTCAATGGTATTGATCATCCTATCAGTTACTATTCTTGCAAGTTTAACAAACATCAAGTTAATTATGCTACTATCGAGAAAGAAGCTCTTGCTTTGTTGCTTTCGCTACAACACTTTGAAGTGTATCTCGGTTCTAGTAGTCTTCCGATTGTAGTGTATACAGATCATAATCCACTAGTGTTCCTAACCCGAATGTGTAATCACAACCAACGATTGATGCGTTGGGCTCTTATGGTCCAGAACTACAACCTGGAGATCCGACACAAGAAGGGATCAGAGAATGTGTTGGCCGACGCTCTGTCGAGAGTTTAATTTTTTTTTTTTGGTAGAGATTTGTTCACAAAAACGAGTTTGTTCTTAAGTGTGGGAGTGTTACGTTCGTAGATATTCTGTGGGCGTCTGTGTTTGTTTTCTGCTTGCGCTCTCTCTCTCTCTCTCGCTCTATCAATTTCTTAGGTCAGCCTTCTCCGCTTACTGATTGGCCCAGGAAACTGTCAATCATCATCAAGGGATGTGATGTGGACCTATCCGCTGTCTGAGACGTCCTCACTACCAGTTTAAAGGACGCTGGAAACGGACTGGAAATGAGTCCCCGTTTTGATTTCCGTTTCCTTTTTGCTGCCATTGTGATTTTTGTTTTCGTTTGGGACTCGTTTGATTTGTTAATTTGCTTAGGCTAGCTGTGTTTCTTCAGTTTGTTTTTGTTACTTTGTTTGACTACTTTGGATGAAGTTTGTTTCAACTTGTTTAGAGCTTGTGCTCTTTTTGTTACCCTTTGCTCCAAGGAAAGGGGGGATAGGGAAGATGTCGTACGACTTCCATTGTGCAAACATCTAGAATAACCTTTGTATAGAAACACCAGGTAAGAGGTGAACGCCACCCTTGTATGTTTTGTTTTTGTGAGCTAGAGTAGGGAAGAACACGGCGCTCGGCGCTGAAGAAACAATTCTTTTTCTTTCCTTTTCTTTAGCCAGGTAAGAGGGTTGAATTTAATTAGAATTGTTTTCTTTTGTTTCTTTCTTTATTTTGGCGTCACTTTAGTCCCTTTTTCCTTAAGGGTAAATTGTTGCTTACTTTCTTTTATTTTATTTATTACTTATTTTTGTTTTCTCTTAATATAAATTGTTTATATTTTTGGAGGCTGCTAACTTCCTTACTGTTCCTAATTTACTTTATTATTCATTTGGTATTCCTTATATTTTTGTATAATAAATATTATTGTTTTCATTGGCAGTTTGGTTTCGCTTATTGTTTCTTGACACACACTACCATTTCCACAGTTTTACAAGGTTTTCTTTAATGTTGCTCCTCTAGCCCCTAGATTAGTTTAGAGGGGTCGTAACAGTCGTCCACGAGACACCTTTATGCGTTGAAGTGGAACCTCTTCGTCAATTGGTGTTCTTCTCGCGGAGAAGACCCCCGGAGATGTTCGATCGCGGTCGTGCTTTCCTTCCTGCAAGAAGGGTTGGAGCGCAGGCTGTCGCCCTCCACCCTTAAGGTTTACGTCGCGGCCATTGCCGCTTCTCATGAAGCAGTGGAAGGTAAGTCCTTAGGGAAGCACGACCTGGTCATCAGGTTCCTGAGGGGAGCAAGGAGGCTACATCCGCCTCGTCCTCCCCTCGTACCCTCTTGGGACCTCTCAGTAGTTTTAAGTGCTCTGCAGAGGCATCCCTTTGAGCCTTTGCAATCGGTAGAGTTAAAGTTTCTGTCCATGAAGACAGCACTCCTGGTTGCATTGGCCTACATCAAGAGGGTGGGGGACCTGCACGCATTCTCCGTTGACGAAGCGTGCCTGGAGTTCGGGCCGGCTTACTCTCACGTGATCCTGAGACCCCGGCCTGGATATGTGCCCAAGGTTCCCACCACTCCCTTCCGGGACCAGGTGGTGAACCTGCAAGCGCTGCCCCTGGAGGAGGCAGACCCAGCCTTGGCACTGCTCTGTTCGGTACGTGCTCTCCGCACCTATGTCGACAGAACGCAGTGTTTCAGGACCTCAGACCAGCTCTTTGTCTGTCATGGGGGGAGCCAGAAGGGAAGGGCTCTCTCAAAGCAACGGCTGTCCCACTGGATAGTGGACGCCATTGCTTTGTCTTACCAGCAGCAAGGCAGTCCGTGCCCCCTTGGTGTGACGGCCCATTCCACTCGGAGTGTGGCCTCCTCTTGGGCTCTAGCGCACGGCGCCTCGCTAACAGACATCTGCAGAGCTGCAGGCTGGACGACACCCAACACCTTCGCCAGAATCTATAATCTGCGAATTGAGCCAGTGTCCTCTCACGTACTCGTTTCGGCCAGTTCTGGACCCACTCAGGTGTCTTCGCTTGCTCGCCACTCCACTCCCCGGACTGGATAAGTGCGATATTTCCTCAGTTCTTCCATTGAAGTCTTTAGTCCTCCAGCACCGACGATGCGGGCACCACTGCTGTTGCTCTGGATGCTGGCTAGGTGCCTCCATGCGTACGGTTCCCCATGGTAACCGTCTCATGTGTATTGTCCACTGTAAGCCTCTCTGAGCATGTGTCTTCCCTTGGCAAGCCATCTGCCACCCCTGGAGTTGAAATTTTAGCAGCCACCTGCGGTTGGTGCTCCAGTGTCTCCATATGCGTTCCTATGTGGCCATATGAGTATTCTTAAGTCCTCCCTTCGGTAGGCATCTGGTAGCATGTCCCTCCCGGGATATGTTTCCCAGTGTACCTTGGTAATCCTGTGTCAAAGTAGGATCCCTAAAAAAAAAAAAAAAAAGAGAGGAGGGGTCCAGACTTTCGCAGGGCACTGGAAGACAGCTTGAAGATGGCGTGATGGCACAGACCCCCAATCTCCGTCACTTCTGACGTAACTCGAAGTGACTACGAAAGGGAACGTCTCGGTTACGTATGTAACCCTCGTTCCCTGAGTAGGGAACGGAGACGTTACGTCTCCCTGCCACTTCTGCTGTATCGCTGGGTAGACGCCGAGTTCAGTCTTGGCTCCTCAGCGAAGACATACTGCGGTTGCGTTCACTTCCTCCTTTTATACTCACGGAGTAGGGCGGAGTACGCTATGCAAATTTCCGCAGCCCCAAGGCATTGCATGCCATTGGCTCGGTTTTAAATACTCGAAGAGGATTGGCTTTCTATGCGAAACCCCCAATCTCTGTCACTTCTGACGTAACGTCTCCGTTCCCTACTCAGGGAACGAGGGTTACATACGTAACCGAGACGTTCTCTGTAATGGAGATAGCGTCTCGATGCCAAACTAACTGTTGTTCCGATTGAGCTAGAATTAACCAGTCGTCGATATAATTCAGAATGCGGATACCCTGCAGACAATGCTAGGCCGAACGGAAGAACCCGATATTGGTATGCTTTGCCCCCGAAAGCGAATCTCAGGAACATCCTGTGTTGAGGTAGGATAGATACATGGAAGTAAGCGTCTTTTAGATTTATCGTGACAAACCAGTCCTCAGATCTGATTTGTGACACGATCTGTTTGAGAGTGAGCATGTTGAATTTGAGCTTCCCTACTGTGCAATTTAAGAGATGCAGATCTAAAATGGGACGATGAAGTACTTTCTTTGGAACGATGAAGGACCGTCTGTAATATCCTAACTCCCTGCTGGGGGGAGGAACCTGCTCTATAGCTCCTTTTAGCAGCAGAGTTTTTACCTCCTGTTCTAAGACCAGAGCCTGCTCGGAGCCAACCACTGTGGGAAGAACCCCTCTGAACTAAGGTGGACGTGTTCTGAACTGAATAGTGTACCCATTTTTTATAGTATTCAGGACCAACTGAGATACATTGGGAAGCATTTTCCATTCCGCCAGAAACTCTACTGTGTGACATATGCAGCGCCCTGTAGCGGTCCACCGGCAGGGAACAGCTGGTCTGGGCACTCCGCAGCCCTCCTCGGAGGGGGCGAGCATCCCTCTGGAAATCGCTCGCCGAGTCTCTCTACGCCTTTTTAATCGGCAGGGTTAGTAGAACAAACCCCTGAGGGCACCGGCAAAGACAGGGCACCGTGGTCTTGTGAGGTGTACTCAAGTCTTTCACGATGGGGATCACGTCAGGATTTTTTCGATGCAGCCTTCTTGGAGACAGAGACTGTCCTCAGATCAGCCCTGCCCTGCAAAGACTGCGCATGAGAGCGCCCCACCTCGCCCCTTCAATTTTGTGGGGGGGCACGAGACGCAACACTCTTTTTTTGTTGCACTCTTTTAAAAAAAAAAGAACTACTCGGCGGCTGAGACTTTCCTCGCCCAGCAGCCCCTAGAATTTTACTTTTAGGGGAATACATTTCTGAAAAGCTGCTGACAGTCTTTTTTTTATTCCTGGAACCTCTCAGCAACTGAATTCAAAGCATCACCAAATAAACGCACAGGGGATACAGGGGCGTCTAACAGAACAGACTAATCTTTTACTTGCATGTTACTTTGATTTAACCATAAATGCCTCTCTGTGGCCACCAGGACTGCCATAGAGCGACCAATTGATCTGTCCGTCTGCCTGGGGACTCGAAGAGCGAAATCAGCTGTCTGTCTGAGCTCATTGGTTTGTGACTTGGTTGCTTTTGACTTGGTTTGTGCCAAATGTGGTGGTTTTATGAGGAATTGTAAGGTATAGATTCTAGGTTATTTTGTTTTGGAACATTTTCAACTTGACTTTTCTCAATATTGACTTTGCTTACTCATTTTCAAACAGGTGTAGCTCATAATTTCTTTGTCTGATTCCAACAAATCGTACATCATTTTGAATAGAGAATGCGATAATGCCAATCTCATTTTTGAAAATATGCTCATTGCGACTCATTTTGCCAACACGGGTCACATATACAGTTTGTGAATTCTCAAAATCATTATGTCTCCATTAAACATGGAAATCCAACATGTGTGTGTCAAATTATGATTTGCAAAATCGAAAACATCGATTTGTTTCCCATCATTTTTTTTAAATATTGAGTTTGACGAGGTCAACATATGTA